TGTGAATATTTAATAAGGTATTTCACACACTAGCAGACTTTAAATGTGACTTCCAGCTCTTAAATCAAGTTTAGATACTGCAGGGTTGAAGTTCTGCGAAGCCCAATTTCTTGTGTGTGTGTTTTTTTCCCCCCAAATAGAGCCTTAAATCATAGTTTCTCATGTAGCTGTAAAGCATAGCCAGCCATTAAAGGCATCTGAATGAAATGAGTCAGGCAGATGGCAATATGCTTGGGAATAAACTGACTAAATGAGTTTTGCATTTTTTTAATGAATATCTGTAAAGACACTAGAGAAGTAGTGGTAAAACTACATTTGCAACCACAATCTAAGTTCCTGTGTTTGTGTATGAATACTGAATGAATAGAAACCTTAGGTAAGTGCACATCCTATCTTGTCATGGAGGCTCTGTGTTCAAGGCAGTTGCTTTGTGTTCAGCTTTGAGATAGAGAAGTGTTTTCCCATCCTTTTTGCTATATTTTTTTAGCCTCAGCGAATGATTGAAAACTTATTTATAAGCGTGTACTTTTAAAGGACTTCGTTATCAGGGTTTTCCTTAACTATCTCTTACTGATGCATATAGAATTAGTTTTAAATGGAAACATTTACTATTTTGATGAATTAAAATTATTTCAGAACTGGTCTTGTTTCAGTAAACAAGTCCAATTTTAACGTTGAATGAGCTAATGTGACAAAACAAAATGAACTTAGAAGGGGTTAGCAGACTTTCCCTAAGATATGCAAACTTACCGCTTCCTAAAGCCAACTTGCAGTGTAGTGCGTCGGCTGCTACATCTCAGAAACTGAGCCTCACACAAAACTTACTTCCTAAGTAATTTTGTCTTTTCCTCAGCGTTACCATCTAAGTATAGTTTCATATTTGTCAGCTTGGCATGCAATTAAACAGCATAGCATTTTTTAAGAATAAATAATACAGAGCCTCCAGATAACTTTTGAAACTTTTTTGCTTGGTGGGTGGTCTTTTCATGCAAATATGTAAGGGTGGGTTTTATATTTTGTAGAGGTTTTGTCCTATTTTAATGCTCTTTGTATGGCAGTATGTATATAGTGTGTTTTGGTTCCTTATCAAACTCTTTCCTTAAACTTTGGAGTAACAGATTTTGTGCAACTGTGTTTTGAATAAAGCCATGACAGTGTTAAATTAAAGAAAACAACCCTGCAGCACTCTTCTGATAACTTTTAGTTGTAACAAAACATGTTTCCTCCCCACGTGTGCTGTAAATTTTAAATTAAAAAGTTTTCAAACTGAATTATTTCAAATAAATTGAGACTATTGTATTGGATTACTTCTTTTAGTATGTACAGCTGTGAAGAGGAGAATACCGTCCGTCTTCAGGAACGGAGTAAGAGGTAATCATTCATTCCTGTTGTCTTTTTAGTTGCTGAAAATCCTCCAGAACCGTGTGTCGTGGGGTTAGAGATGGTACTTAATGGTATTGGAGGTCTTGGTAACGTTGCCGTGGTCGAGGAAGGACGCAATGTACAACCCATGGTGATGTTTGCATGGCTCACTTAGTGTTTCCAGATGAGTTTAGTACAGAAATGAGTGTTGGAGCTGACAGGGCTTTTGCATACTCTGTAAATCCGTACTATTTCAGTGTAGTTTAGTTATACAAGTCTGGCGAGTCTTAAGAAACAAAACTGAAAATCTAGAGACTGCATTTTGCTCTTCAGAAATGGTGACTTGATGTGTCTGGCAGCCCGAGCCGCAAGCTTAACACTGTTCCCTCAAAGTAGCTGCCTTGGTGTGTATAAATTACTTCTCATTCAAGAACAATGTTTAAAAAAAAAAATAAGGGGGGGAAGAGCTGCTTCTCCTATACAGCTAGACATAGCATTGTTTTTATTTTGGGATTAGTCCAGCATTCTTGGCAAAAATCCCCTGGACACACTTAAGAAAGCTAGTAACTAAACAGGCTTTTCTTCTACCAGATGAGTGATTAGCCAAGAAATGGGTGGTTTTCTGTGTGTGTGTGTTGTTGTTTTTTTTTTTTTAAAGGAGGGTGGGAAGGGTAAGCAGTTGCCTTTCCATCAGTGCTTGCTCCCTGCGGAGCAATTTGCCCACTGGAGCAAGGGCAAACGGGCAAAGCGAAGCTTTAGGATTGTTTTTAACAGTGGAAGTTTAGCCTCCTTTGGGGGGATACGGGTGGCTTTATGCAAACTAAACCCGAGTTACATCATTCTGGCACACGCACGACAAGGGAGCTTGAGAGGAAAGTTGGTGCTGTGTAGGCATGCCTTCAAAATAGGCAAAAACTCGAGGCGAGGGGCGGGTGTGGGCTCGCTTTGGTGGAGGCGAGCAGCTTGCCGTGACCTGCACCAAACCACCTTCCTCCCTGCCTCGGTTCCCAAATGCGGGACGGCCCCTGCGGCCACCTCCCTGAGGGGAAGCCAAGGGGCTGTTGCTGAGGGCTGGCAGCGCCCCAGCCCGCACCCAGCTCCGGCAGAGCCCCAGGGGGCCCTGCTGTCCTCCATTTTGTCGCAGTGAAGGCGAGTCCTGCTGGAGGCCGGCTGGGCGGCTTCCTCATCTTTTGTTGCCCCTTTTATCGCTTTTCCAGCCCCCTTACACCACCCCTGTGGGCTCTTATCTCTTTATTTCCACTATTATCGCTTCCCTCCGGGGCAGGGACGCTGTAAGCGGCTTCCCCCTCACGAGCTCCCCCCTCCCCCCCCCCCCCAAGGACTCTCCCTCAGCCCCGCCTGAGGCCGCGCGGGGCCCCCCGAGAGCGGGAAACCGCCAGCCACGGGGTTCCCCGGCTCCGGGCAGCAGGGGCCGAGCCTCGCGTCCCTGCCGCTGATTGGCTGAGATTTGCCGCAGTTCCGCCCCTCCGTGCGAGCCCGCCCAGTCCTGGGGCCGCTTTGAGGCGATGCCCCGCCCCCTCTCCCCGCCCACTCCCAACGGTCGCTCCGTAATGGCGGCTGCCCGCGCCCATGGCTTGTACCTGCTGAGGGAGGCTGGGTCCCCGTCCCCTCACAGAGGCTTGTCCTGTCCGTCTGTCTGGTCACAAAGCAGAGGTGTTTTGGTGTGAAAAGCAAAATTTAGTACCGAGTCCGACCCCCACCCCCCCAATTAAAAAAAAAACACACAAGATTAAACACGAACCCCAGAGTAGTTCCCAATGTTCGTCATGAGGGAGGATGAGTGTAGCTGTGCTTTGCTACCTCGAAGGAGAAAAACAAATCAAATTAGTTAGCTATAGATAATTTTTTTTAAAAAAGATTATGTTTTCATGTAGCTCATGCTCCGGGTGCATCTTATGTGCCTGCTCCCCACATTTGAGCTGGAAGCATGGTGGATGTGGGGTTACCTGATGGCTTCCCCAGTCCTCGCCGCCCTCCTCCTGTGGCTCTGCCTGATTTCATGTAGACCTTGCTGGTGTGGGGTCTGTGGCCTCTTAAACCATGCACCTTCCCTTCACTGGACTGTTTGAGCCCTGGTCCAGGGCAGAGAGGCTGCTTGTTGGTGTGTGGTGGAACCAGGGGCTCACCTAAAACCATCCCCATACGCTCCTGGACTGCTAATTATCCTTCTTCTCCCCCAAGTGAAACTTAGCTCAAAAAGCCATACTGCTGAGAACACACCACCACGAGGGTCCTTCACCCCCTAGCCTTCAGGGAGCGTGCTTTCGAGCTTCTTCGTGTGTATTGTGTGATAAAGGGGAAGTGGATGGACATAGATTCAGGAATGCAGGCTTGGAAAACAGTGAAAAATACCCTGAGTTGTATGACGGAGTAGTGTGAATTATCCAAAAGAACATTTTGCCCCATTCAACTGTAAACGAAATACTGTGTGTGTTGATTTTGGCAGCAATAGAGTTGCTGTGCACTAAAAATGTGCAGACCAGTTTCACCAATCATAAACATTGCAGATGTCCGAACCAAAAGAACGAGATCAGTTTAGAAGTTATAAGAATATTTTTTTCCTTTTCTGCTTTCTGAGTCTCTCAGTTTTGCTTGGGTTTGCTGCCTGAGTTGTAAGTATGCGCTCACGCTCAGCCATTTGCTGTTTGCCGATCAGCAGCACTGGCAAGCGAGCAGCTGCCCATGGGTTGCAAAATGCACGGGATGGCAGCAAAAAAAGTCAGCGAGAGCAGCTGCTCGGAGCAGGATGGCAGCAAATTTGTTTCTGCAGGGCATAGCCTGCGGCAGGGAAAATTCTGGTGCTATTCCTCTTGGCAGATTTTTCACTGGAGTTATAGCTTATTCTTTTGGAGAACGCTTTTTTATAAAAACTTTAATTTTAAAGTTTATAGCATGCTTCATTTTCTGCTTTGAGTGTCTCGTTTAAAAACAAACAAAAAGCCCCCCAAAACAATTGAGGAAACCCTTCAGTCATGCTTCAAATTTAACTGCCAAAACTGAGGGAGAATCCAAAAATAAATGTATGGCCACAACAACAAACCAAAAGAAAACCACATTGTACATAAAAGCTGGGAACTCATTGCACTGAGGAAAAGCATTCTGTTCCAGAAAAAAAAATGACCACAGACTTCATGTTTGGTTTTGTGTTGGAAAAGAAGAGGTATTTTTCCTATATTAATATGTTAAAATGGTGCGTTTGATGTGCACGTCCTGCAGTAAAACTAATTCAAATAAAATAATTGTATCGATGAGTGCGGGGGAGCAAATGAGAGTTCCTCATCGCCTCCTAGTTGAAGATTAATAGTTTCTGTCCGTTAAAACAGTTGCGCAAATAATCTTATTTGAGGTTCCTGGAAGCGTCTTCGGGAACTGTGCACCCCGGGGTGGCTTTGCCCCGATGTGCTGAGCAGGGCCCAGTGCCCCACGGGCGCTCACCGCATCCCTTTGTCATCCCCAGGGACCCCCAGGGTGGGAGGAAACACACGCTCAGACAGGGGTGTAACACACATCATGCGTCCTGGGGGTTGCGAGAAAAGGGAAAATGAAAGGAAAAAAGAAAACAGGCCTGGGGTAGATGAAGCACTGCTTCGAATGGGCTGTTTACGTATTAAGATTCGTTTTTTTTTTTTTTTTTTTTTATGATTTTCAGTGTGGTATTTAAGAATAAAATTGTTTTGCTATTCTTTCTCAGCTTGCTTGGTATTTTTTGTTAGTTAGAACATAAGGAACATAGACTAGAGGAAAACAAAATATTCATGTACTTTCTACACAAGTAGATTTATATAAAAATATAGAACTCTCCAAAACATAAAAATATAAATCTCCAAATAATCTATCTCAAGATATTATTTGAGGGTGGAGGTTTTTTTTTTAAATAAATTCTCTTAACAGGTGTTTTTTTTTTTTTTTTTTTTTTTTTTTAATACTGACTTTGGCAGAAGACTTGCTGGCATCATGTTCCCAACCCCAGAGACCTCTTGGTCTCTTCTGGTGGAGGAGCATCCATCGGGTGTTTTAGCTCAGGGACATTGGGAGCTTAAAGAAAACTGAAAATCTCTCTATTTTTAAAATTATTTTTTTAAAATATATTTTATTTCCCCCAGGATGAAGGAGTCTGTTAGTTAGACCACTATCACTTGACAAAGTTTGATTTCATTTGTTTATTTGCTTAAAGCTGTGTGGTAACTGTGTGATAAACTTGGGCGATGGTGTGTTTCCCCTGATACGCTCCTGCAAGGGCCTCAGAGCAAAGCTTGAAGGAAAACCTAGTTGAAAACCTGGGGGATGCAATGAAAATGGGATAATTTTGCCACATCCTTCTCCCTTGGGAATCCATCTTTTGTGGTAGTACTGGGGACATGCAGAAATAATGTTTAATTAAGAGCCTAAGGCTGGGAGAGAGCTCCTGATGATAACGATGCTGATACTAGCACGTCTTTGTAGCAAGTGCCTTTCTCAATATCTTCTAGAACCGCATTTTTTTTTTCCCTTAGCTTCATCACAGCGATGACTCATAGTTGTTCTTCTGCCGAAAAGTACACTGTGGTATTTCTCCTCTGCTGCTGTTTGTTACTAATGAGCTCCCCTCTTACAGTAAAAACTTATTAATACCGAAATACATAAATTCGGAATGCATGAAGTACCGAATACATGCCTTTGATAATTTGTGGTTCTGAAAACTAATAATATTTTCTTCTCTCTGTTCTTTCATCACTGTCAGATGATCTTAAATAATAGGATCAGCCTTGAAAATTAAACTAATTCGCGTCTTTGTGCTGCCCTGTTTTGTACTAGAAGTCATAAAAGCAATGCCGTATTTAAAAATGCCACTAAAACAGCTAATCCTTTTGCTTATAAAAAGAAAGAAAACCTTGTTAACATAAATGTATGTATATACACACGGTCTCATAGGTAGCATGATGAGCTATCAGTTCATTACAGAATATCTATGAAGATGGAAACGGGATTGAGCCAGTGAAAAAACATCCTGTATGTATTTTTAAATCAAATATATATTTTTAATTACACATAAATTAAGACACTCTAAAAACATGAAGTTTAAAGAAATTCTCATTCTTCAAACTTGCAGGAAAAAATGTTATGCTTTACAAAGATACCTTCATCTCCATTTCAGCTGCTAGCAGAGAAGAAAAGGAATCTTACTGTCTAATTTCCAGGAAACTAAATCATTAGTTTGTTTAATAAGAATCGCTATTCTGCCGGCTAAGGTTGTTCATCCAAGTGAAATCAAGTTACACACCATTAAAATCAAGTATTTGAACTTTCCTACTGTTTAATGTACTTTAAATATTACTGAAATACAGTTTTGTTTCCTGATTTTTACATTTTTTTTTTTTTTAATATATGTAGTTTCCACCTTCCCTGAATTTATTCTTATGGACTTACTAACAACACATTTTACAATCGTTGCTTGCATAAACTGACCCCAAATCCATTTTAAAACACTGTTAAGACCACGTTCTCAAAAGATCCCTCGCTCTCCAGGCTCGATTTCAGTCTTTACCAGACGGACGTACCTTTGGTCTGCTTTACAGCTCTGTAATTTGTATATGGCTTTCTGGCTCAGACTTTTTCACTGGAAAATAAACACCGGTGATGAGAACAAAAGGGTGAAACTTCCTTTTTGGTTATGAACTCCTTGTCGTGGCGGAAGTTGTATTCGGTACGATCGGTTAGTCGGGGTGGTTTGGCTGTGTACGTACAGCCCTCGTTCGCTGGTGTAACGGTGTCTGCCCAGCCTATTGTCCGAAATACTTGTTGATGTTTCTTTTTTGCTCTTTAAAAGAGCAAAAAGAGCAGCATTTAACAAAAAAGAGCAGTGGTGAGGGGCAGCCAGAATGTAGGGGTATCTCAGTGCTGAACTTTAAAGGGAAAAAAATGAAGCATTAAAAATATTAACACGAGCAAAGACTTTAAAGCTTAAGTCAAAATATAGAATCACACACACACACGATTATTCTTGAAATCAAGAACACGAGTTGTTCCTCGGTGGCCTCACCAATTACAAAACTTGTGGATGACGTGCTACGTATTCTATCATATTTTCTCCCTATTAATTGGAACTTGATTTTCATCAGTCACCTTATCAACGTTTTGGCCACAGAGCCAAGTGTCACGTACCTAAATGAGACCTCGTGTCCAGGAAGCAGCCCGTGGGTTTTTGTTTATGCAAAGCCAGAGTCCTGCAGGCAAGTGAAGTGCTCTGCAGCATAACGTGTGAATTGGAAACGCTTCCAATGGCCACAAGTCAAAATTCTTCATCTACGTAACGTGTAGGTTACTAAATGTCTTCAAGAAGAAGAATGTCAAGTGGACTTGCCTCATCGGATGAGACCACAGAAGAAATAATTGCCAGGAAGGAATTGGTAATCAGGAAGCTGTTAAACCACAATGCATTGTCAACTACCTTGCTTTTATTACTCTCAATCATGATTTTTTTTTCACTTGAGGAAAAACAATATGAAAAGATAAATTGAGTTTTACCCCACCGCAAAATAGTTTGCTTTATAGAACACACTATTAAACAAGAACTAAACATCAACAAGATGTTTTCATTCCTCAAAAGCAGAGTTCAAATTACATGAAATCAGCTTCAATATCAGCATTCTTGTTTCAAGACAGTGATTTACAGTTTAGTACTTTTAATTATTTTTAATTGCATATTGCAAAGTCTTTTTCTCCAATTACAAGAAAGCAATTTGCATGTCTACTACCTTTCACTTTGCGTTTAAAACTCGGCAGTGTCTTATGAAAAAGTCCTGGCTGATTCTTGACTTGGTGAATAAGTGTAGCTCCTTAAAAATATACACACAGAGGTCGTATTTTTTATTTGTATTTTTTTTTTACACCGGTGTGTAATCACACCTCCTGTGCACTCCCGCCCAGTGCCCCTGCTGAAGTTAACACAGCTCCGTGGGCTGAGATCGTACCTCCCGAAATGCTTGAAGCTTTTGGTGTTAAAGATAAACGCATGCGTTTGGGGCTTCCTTTGAAGCACGGACTTGTTGAGATTAAAGTATTTTATCTTACGATATAATGAGGGGTATTTCCATCTTAATTGATGCATATTGCCAGGGGTAGGAAGGTTGGTTGTTACTGAGATCTCCTACATTAACATGTTACACAAATTAATGAGAGGCTTTTCCTGAGAGAGACTCTTAATTTTTCTCTTAGCAAGACATCTAGAGTTCCTCCTCATTCAAATCACAGGTCTGAACAGACTCGTTGTACCTTTGTTAAGAATGAGGAGGGATAGAAGGAGGAAGAATATTAATCTCTCCCTGCTCTGGGTTTCTGAATAGCTGTAGGCTTAAATTTCTGCATAATTTCTACATTAAGGTTAAGCATTTTCACTACAAAGAAAATTCCAGGAACATCACACTATTGAAAAGCAAAAATATTTCTTAGAACAAAGGGAGGAATCATGAAGAAGATAGTAATATGAACCGCCCACTGAGACAACCATTTAAATTTGGAAATTCCTGCTGTGTGCCTTTCACTGCAGGTCTTCCAAGGTGCTCTATTTGCAACTTTTGCAAATTCCCCGATAGGTTTCTTTTTCCTTTCTCTAGTACACCCTAATTTCTAATGGTATAGGAAACGTTCTTTCGCTAGGAATCAAACACCAATTCCATCTGCAAGGTGACTGCAAATATTGGTGGCTGCAAAGACGCACGTGTCTTAGAATAGAACTTAGATCGGTATCATAGAAGAAGTTGTATTTTAAAGAGAGGGAAGAGTAGATGAGGGAGAAGTGGAAAACAACAGAATTTCTCTTTGACCTCTGCAAAGGAGAAGCAGCAGCAGCCTACCTGTGTGGAGCAAAGCTTGGCCAGATCTGGAGAGGGAAGAGAACCAAGCAGTCACCGCACGTGGGGCTGTGCTATAGGCACTGCTCCTCGCTGAGCCATGGGCTTGGGGATCTAAGAGCCTGCTAAATCATTTGCTGAATTTGCCCCAAGTGTTAGAAATCACTCAGTGCTTGGTAGTATTACGAGCAATAGTACTCCTAGCTGTCTGGCTTTAATCTGTGTAAGAGTTGGCCAGGCACTTGAAGTGATGGAATTACTCATGGGCAAATCACGATAATTCTGAAACAGCTGAGCATAGTTAAGAAAAGTGACATCGTTAAGAAAGTGAAAGCAAATGCAATTATTAAAACTTAGTTTGTTTTTACAAGCAGTTATGTTTACATGGATTTCTCATTTACAAGATCCTTATTCTAGAAGGTATGTGAAAGCTGCTGCCTCTCAGATGTTTCCAATATGGCATAACTTAAAAAGAAGAAAGTTAAAAGAACACACCAGGGACAAATTGCTCAGCTGCAGAACTTTTGGCTTATTTTCCCCAGCTCTTCACGACGACTGTTAGCAGCTCCACAAATACAGGGGACAAATTTTTGGGGTCTGACAGCAGCAGCACCCAGAGCCGGGCAGTTTTCTTCTGACCAGAGCACAGAAGCAAAGCTGGTGGAGATGTGCGAGGACACAGAGCGCATCCAGTTGCCCGGCATCGTTGCGGTGATGGAAAGCAGCAATAAAACTGACAGAGCTGGGAGCACTCAAAGCAACACCAAGAGCTGCGTATTACAAGTTCCCGAGTCAGATGCTGTTATGTGCTGTGCTGATCATACGCTCAGTGTCAGCGCCACTTACGCATCGTGCTCTTGGGGAAATAATGGCCATCAAAAAAACCTCAGCTGCTGTGCTCTGGAAGGGCAGAACGAAGCTGTATTTATTTATTTATCTAGTGCTGAGACAATTGAGGCTCTACGGAGAAATTTGTCTCTCGTTTAGTGAAAAGGCGAGGGAAGGCACAAGGGGGAGAATCTCCTGTATCTTGTTCTGGAGTGACCTCGTCTGGCAGCTGCCTGTAACGGTGCTGGTGGTGCTGGTGGTGCTGGTGATGCTGGTGGTGCTGGTGATGCTGGTGGTGCTGGTGATGCTGGTGATGCTGGTGGTGCTGGTGATGCTGGTGATGCTGGTGATGCTGGTGATGCTGGTGATGCTGGTGATGCTGGTGATGCTGGTGATGCTGGTGATGCTGGTGCTGAGGAGCCTCAGCTGGGCTGCACCCACTGATTGCAGCATGCACCAGGCAGGACTGGGGCTGCCGACTGTGACCCTCCCGTCATTTTGTGCTTTTGCTGCTCTTAGGGGCATTTTTCTTCTGTTGCTGTGTGCCTGCACACCTCCATCCAGGGCAGGGGAAAAGGAAACCACTCCTGGGGGCACCTGTGCAGGATTCTCCCCTCCTTTACTGCTCAGGGAGGGCAATGGAGGAGAGAGGAAGGGAGCATCATTAAAACCAAAAGCAATCAATCAAACAAGCAAACAAAACCAGTTCCACGCGTGTCTCCCGATGGGGATGCGGATTTCTTTCAGCATTAATTTTCGTGATTCTGCTCGGCCACCTGGAGGTGCCCAGGTCCCGCGGTCAGGATCTGGCCCCCGGCTGTGCAGGGACGAGCACCAGAGGGCACCATGCGCACGGCGAGGAGCCCGGGTGGCTTTTGGAAATGCCACTTTTTGCAGGGCTCTGGGCTCTTCAGCTGCATTCATCTCCTTAAACTTGATCTTCCAGGGATGAGCATGCAGCAGGAGGAACTGCGTGCACGTCTGTCTGTAAGGAAGAACTCGGGGGAGACTAAGAAACAACTTGGTTTAACGTGAAATATTCCTCCTTGCTCCAATTCTTCATCGCTAACCCTGCCTTTACAGCATCCAGGAGTGACTTGCAGCAGGAATTATTTTGCCCTTCGTTAAGGAGCTAGGACAGAAGGCTGCCTTCTGAAAATTGCTTATCGCTGCCCGATTCACTTCGGGAGCCTTCATCCAGGATGAGGAGAAGTTACAGACTGAGTTCCCGGCGTGTTGTGGGTTTAGGACACCCGAAGTGCGAGAGATTCCAGAAATTTGGGCTGCTTAGAGCTGACTTTTAGGGGATCCTACCAGCTGAGCCCATCAACCTCCGAGGTTTTTAATTTTGCAGAATATCTTGCGGCTCCATCCCCAGTGTCAGACGCAGCCCAAATGCGTGGTAGGAGGTGCGGAAAGGAGCAGCTGGGAGGGCGCTTCCACTTTTTTTTTCGGCTCCCAGACAAATGGCACCGGGTCCAGCGTCCTCTGCCCGTGCCAGCTGAGAGGTCAGCGACCAGAAAGCTCTACTTCAGGGAACAAGCGCGGCAGTGTGCAGCGCATGAAAGACCTTATTCATGGAGCAGCCTGGAGGGGCTTGTACTGCATTGTCTGGTATGCATTAGCTTTGGGAAATTAGTCCTCCAAATTTTGTACAAAAGGAAAGAAAGAAAGTTTGCCTTCTCTTCTGCATTCGCCCTTCCAAACGAGCCGTCCAAACGATTTATTTGTCGGTCTCCTGCTTAGGAGGCCGCTGGCAAAATATTTGGGGGGGAGTGCGCTGTGGATAGCCCTGTAAAAATGTAGCAGTCCATCAGAATTTACCTCGGAGGCAAGGAAAATTCAGCCTACACAAAAGGGAGAGGGAAGAATCTTGGGTCAAAACCATCATTCTTTCTGTTCTCCCATGTGTGCCGAACATTTTGAAGATGACCACATTAGATATCATTGAATGTTGCCTGAGCAGAAAAAAAAAAGACCACAGGATCCCCTAATCGTCGCACTGCTGTTTAATTTAACTTGCCCTTGAAAGGACAGAAGCTCTTTTTTGGCATCCTGCATGTCATTACTCACGTGCTAATGGTTTGGGGATGCTTCATGTGTAGCACAGCCCTGTTCGGAGTTAAAGGGGACCCCTTCAAATTCCCAGGTGTGCTTCGTGATAAAAATCCCCTCTTGGGTTAGAACCAGGCTGACCCTGTGGGGTCATCCTTCCATAAATGCTTCCGTACCCTGCCTGCGTACACGCTGCCCACTGAAATGACCATAAAAGCAGCAAAATCCGATACCATTTTCACAGCTATCGTTTGAGTTCCCTGTAAACCTTCTATAGGTAGAATTTCCTTTTACCAGTCCAAAAGCTCCCCAGCAGGAGGTTTTTCTGGCAGAAAAATAGGTCTGGTCATGTGGGAATTGGTCTCATACCCAGGATTCTTGGGTTTTGGGGTTCGTTGCATTCTTTTCTAAGGCCAAACTGGCCTTTTAGCTGTTTATGGTTTGTTTACAGTGAGGTTCTGTTGTCCATGTAGGACAACAATCCTTACCGTGTTTTCTGGCCAACACACTTCATATCCTATTACGTTTACTAAATTTAGAGGCTGATTTCCTAAATACACAAGTAATGATAATAATTAATTGCATCCTTTGGGCCAGAATAACCTCAGTAAGCTTGCAGTGGACGATCTGGTCCTATAGCTAACTGCTTTATGCCTCTCTAATTACATGAAGCAGCTGTAGTCTCAACGGATTCGGTCAGCGGGGGATTTCTACCTGCCGTGGAGTCTCCCCAAGCCACGTATAGCCCCTTCCCTATCATCTTCTCTCTGAGCTTTCTGGTGCAGAGGCTAATTGGGAAATGGAGCTGTGGCTGGAGCAGCGTTGTGGCACGGTAATTGTACCAATTCCTGCTCTGCCGTTGCTCCAAATTAGACCGGAGCCAGTCCCCGCGGCACAACACAGCTGCAGCTCCAAATCTGGGCCATAACGCGCATGCTAAAATAAGATAATCAAATCTTGTGCTTAGGAACTGCTGGTTTCCAGGAGGTATTTCTGCTCTCCAGTGTCTGTGGACAGCATTACAAAAAAAAAAATAATGCATCTAGTGAGCCGCGTGTTAATTTGGAGCAGTGAGCAACAGCGGTTGCAGCAAGAAGGATGCTGGACTAGATGCCGAACGATAACCAAATGCCACAATGAGAATTTTTCTTTTTATTAAGCAGGACAGCATGTACTGACCTCTAATACAACTAAAGCGATCAGGTTAATTATTGGCCTCTGCTGAGCAGTGCCACACGCTGAGCTATCAATCTGTCTTTCTAGGTAGCTGGGGATTCGAGCGTCAGTGCCATTTCCTCTCATACCTGGGAGATCCTTGGCAGCTCCTTGTTCCCCTTCCAGTTAGGACCAGTGAAGCTGATTTCATAAACTGTAATGAGATCCCAGTTTAGGGTTGTGTGGCTGCAGGCCTGTCGCTAATTTTCTTCTCTTTTCTTCTGTTACCGAATTTCCTTACTCTCGCACAAAGTCCTGAGTCAAGGACAGTGGCATTTGTACAAGAAAAACAACTTTTATTTATTTATTTATTTGTTTGTTTGTTTATTTTTAGTAATGGAGCACGCAAGCAGAATCCCAGCCACTGGGTGAAAAGGGGGTTGGTTCAGGTGGATGCGACGACCTTGGAATCCCAATGTTTCGGTACATTTGGGTTTCCTTTCCTTTCCAAAGACATAACTGAGGGCTGCCATTCCAGCAACAGCATCTCCTCTTTCCACTCACCCCCCAGCTCTTTTATTGCATTAGATGCATGGCTTCGCAGTGTCTGGGGGTGTTTCTTCTGGGTGCAGTTTGGCACTTTTTAACATCCATCACTCAATCAAACGGGTTCTGGATTTCGAGGCACTGCCTTCACTCCGTTATTTAAGAACGTGAAATCTGCTGAATGCTTTCCAGCCAGCCAGGAAAGCTTGCTCCTGTCAGCAGGAGCTCCCGATATTAAGAATATAATCTCTTTTGCAAACGCACTTTCCTGCTCTTCCTGCTTCTGGCTGTCAGGAAATGCAGCTGGAGGCAGCTCCTGCACACGGGGGTCACGTCGAGGAGTGCTTGGGCCCCAGAGTGTGCTCACACCGGTTGATGGGTAACACACATCATGGGCAAACATATAAAAAAAATAAGAAATAGAAAGGAGGGTGGGAAATGGGAACAGGTGAAGAAAGCTTTTGGCTCTCTAAGCACGGCGCGATGTTTTTGGTGGTGGTGCAGGGATTATTTCCTTTTGGGAACATTGGGTAAAGGCTGAGTGCAGATATGTTTAACTGATACGTTGCATGCATTTCAGATGGACACGAGCACCCCAGCATCCCCGGAGTATTTCCACGCATCTGATGAGAGAGCCCTAGAAAATACCTGGAAGTGCTGGAGCGTGGTTCAAAACTTCAGATACTGACTGCTGAGTTAATCAGGGAAATGATAGGTTAAAAGCAGTGAGTGGGAGTGACAATTGCAGCACAAGTGTTGCCACACGCATCCTTGTCCACTCCTTTGTGTCTCCCGTGAATAGGCTCGCCATTTCGCTTAATGCACTTAGGCATTTTCATAATAAGATTCCAGGGCTGAAGTCATGCTGCAACCATTTCCTTTGGCCCCCAGTGTCTTTGCACAATGGGCTTGTATTCCTGGGCTTGTGTGGAAGGACAACGAAAAATGGACCACCTTGGGCTGCGAGCTCGGTGCTGCAACCTCGTCAGCGTCTTCTGCAAGCTCTGTGGTGAGCACACGAACACCAGCGAGCAGCAGGGACCACCCTTTTTATTCAGTTTGAAGCAGAGGAGTGCAAGTGCTGGCCACGAGTTCTGCACATGCTGCTTGATGCAATGCAATGTAAATGATGAATAGGGGCCGTGCCAGAAGTTGCAGAGTTTCTCTTCATTATTTCATCATTTGCGAAGATTTTTAGCCTCCTTTTGTTCTCCAGAGGCCGATGCTGGAGCGTTTTGTTTGCAAGAACAACACGTATGATTTAATTCATCTAACCCCGGCTTGTCTGCAACTCTTTGCAATCAAATTTTGTGCGTGCCCTGCAGGGAGAGGGGGCTAACACCAGGACGGAGTGGAAAACCCTGGGGGATTCGGCTCCAGGCTTGAGCTAACGCAGCCTCTGCTCTGCTGGGTGGGCTCCCCTGACTCAGCCTCACCTGGAACATGACTTTTTTTTTTTTTTTTCGGTGCAGAAATGCACCGAAACCATTCAAATAATTGAAATTATTTGAATAAACCATTCAAATAATTTGTTAAGACGAGGATTCAAGAAGGAGAAGAAACAAGTGGGCAGTACAGGAAGTGTACATCAATGCCTGGCTTCAATCCTGTTAAATACAGTCCCTTAGACCTTAGCATCCACGCACATATCTTAGGTTTTAACGTGGCAGCCTCTTAGCTGCAGCCAGGACATGCCTCATAAAAAACAGCTGGAGATGCGATACCATCATAAGAGGGCAGAGCAAGACAACTTTTCGTTCCCCTTCTGATAAGCTTCGTGCAGGAAGGGCAGTGTGAAGCCAAAATAGCGCCTGCACGTTCCTCATGTGAAAATCTCACTCACTGGGACCTTCGAAGCTCTGAAAACATGCAAAGCACAAGGAGGCGTGCTACGAAGTGAGACATCCCCATGAAAATCTCTCCCCTTTAGCCTCGGCTGCCTCCTGCGCTGACCAGCCTGTGGTCAGTGGCTGCAGCAAGCTCAGGTTTTTTGGGAACTGCGACCAAACCAGAGCGGGCAGAGGCAGGACCAAGGAAACGTCTTCTGGTGTGAGACGAGGCGATGCCCAGAGGCAGACGTGTCATCAGCAGCAGAAAATTGTAAAGAAATACCAAAATTGGCTCGCTAACCAGGACTGTCAGTACCTCATGGGCAACGTCCTTGGAGGCATCGTAGCACAAGAGGCTGATTTTACTGTGATACCACCTAATTCCACCTGGTATTTCTCGTGTGAGAGATGGTACCAAAAGCCGTCAACTGGACTCAAAGATTGGGCGAACAAGGAACGAATCAAATGAAATGTAGAAAGAAAAAGATTTTGGCAAACGAAGAATGAATCAAATGAAAAGTTGAAAGAAAAGGATTTTTTTTTTTAATTTATTTATTATTTTTTTTGGTAAATGAGTCAAAAAGATCAGGTCAAAATTGAGGAAATGAAACAGCTTTGGCTCAGCATATCTGGCAACATCCCATAAAAGACCAAAAAAAAAAAGAGAGAAGTCAAACTTGCCAGAAGACAAGAAAGGAACTGTAATGGAAGGGGTGGGGGGGACACACACAAAAAAAATACATCCATGCTGCAACACCCAAGACCTTCTGCAAACTATCCAAAAAAATAAAAGAAATGTATCAAAAGGAAAGAAATGCATTTTGAAAAATGTATTTAAAGAAGAAATCTGGCATAAATGGCTATAATGACAAGGATATAATGACTGGGAGGCAGAAAATGCTGTAGAGAAGTTACGGCTCACTAGGAACATGAAGAGCACGTGGGCAGGAAAGTGAAAAGCAATTTTATTAAGTGTAGTGAGAAATCAAAGACGGAAAACGCAAGAAATCCGTGGTCGGAAGCTGACAGAACACGGCGTTCGTTATGTCTGCTCTCACACGAGGTACCACAGAAAGTCTTCCCCATGACAAGCACGCCGAAGCCTTGGTTTGACATCTCACTCCAAACATTTGAACGCTTGAGCTCTATTTAGCTAAGGCTCGTCTTTTCTTTCTGCGCTGGGTATTGGATCCTGGTTTAATTCTTGTTTCTGCGGTGCTCGTTTACACACGGCTGCAGCCACCGTCCTGCTCAGCCCAGGGAGCTGCATTTCAGGGAGCAGAAGCAGAAACCTTCTGGGGTGAGCTCCCGTGGCGGTACCCGTGCTGCTTTAATGCCATGCACACAGGGCTACAGGTGAGGTGTGCTCGAACCACTACGGAGAAAGAAAAATACAGATTTTACAGAGGATACTTTGGTATCTGCTGTGGTACGTGAGCAACCACAAATTTTAAGTCCAGAACCTTACTTCTTACGAGGCCAGAACAAATAATTTGTCATTAGAGTCCAGTTCCCAGCTGAACGAGGCTGAGACCAGGCAGCCCATGCTGCTTAGCTCCTGGGAGAAGAATAAAATAAAGGGCTGATTTTTGGTACTTGCTGTGATGGGTTAATACCCTGAAGCATGAAATTTGATTACCCTTCTCTTAAAAAGGCGGAACAGCAGATGTTATTAGTGGTCATAAAATTATTCAGCCTTTAAAAATATCGCACCACGGTGTTTGACTTTATGGTATCTCCCAGATCGAAAAGAAGAGGAAAACATACTCAAGATTTCACGTGAAATGACTGCTTTTTCCTACTCGCTCCCGTCAGGCGAGGGGACGTTCTGTAATTGCAACCCAAGAATTGCACTGCTGCCTGCATTTCTGCAGAGTGGCTTCAAACTAAAACTCTCCCAGGTGGGAGAGGCCAGTTTCATTCTAAGGAAGGAGCTGAGCTGCGAGCTCTTCCCCACATCCTCCCAGCTGGACAGTGATAAAACCAACAAAAGAAGTCAAAACCATCAATTCACAGAAAGAAAAGCACAACAAAGCAAAGCAATTTAAAGATAACACAACTGACTGGCGAATCCAGACATTCAATAATCATCGGCTAAGGCCAATAAAAGCATAATAGTGGTGCTTAAAAAACATCAACTTTCATTTTCCTTGTTACTTTGTGAGTAAGCAGCATGACATCGTTTTCAAATGTTTCCTCTGTAGTTGCAAAACCTGGGATTTTTTTTCCTAAATAACACGATTCCAGGTGTTGCAGCAAGAAACTAGAAACTGCAAGACTTCAGATGATGCTAACAACGTGTCGGTGGAAGAGCTGAGCAGGAATCAAGCTTTCCTGATTCTTTCCCAATTCCTGATGCTGCCTCCCAAGAAACTGCTTCTTTTCTTTCCCGTGACTTGATTTTTACAAACCTGGAAGGAAAACTCCAGAAGGAGTAGCCCTTCCATGTCCTTCTGCTATCATTTTCCTACATCTCCAGTAATATAAATAATCTTGTAAGTGATATAAAACATTTCCAAAAAACATACGTTGAAAGCATGAAGCACTCAAGATCCTCTGCCCAAACAAACTCCTTCCTCCCCTCACTCTCCACATTTTGGTGAGCACTCAGGCAGCTTCGTCATTTGGATAATTAGAGGCTGCCAGATGGCTGTAAATATGTTCACAATCCTTCGAACCCAGTTCCCTTCTCTCTGGCACCCTCCTTGCTCTACCCCTAGCAAGCACCTGGCCTGTTCCGATCTGAAGAATCTCCCTCTATGCTCTTGATCTGAATTGGCACCTCTAGTTTTTATTTTCCTTTTTTTAAAGGAAATGGGACGTTCTTCAGGCCTGTCCAGTGCTCCTTCACAATCACGTTCACCACGTGCTAATTAGCAGCGTGCCCCCTCCAGATCGCCCACAGCAACCCACGAGGGCACGGCGGCTTCTTCCTCATCCGAGAGCTCAGGGCGAGGCGATTCATCCCCTCGTGCCCCAGGGAATGGGCAGAGTCAGCACCCGAGCAGCAGCTCCAGGCCCCCTTCCTCTTCCTCCTCCTCCTCCTCCTCCTCCTCCTCCTCTTCCTCATGGGCACTGTGTTGCCCTACTCCACACGCTGCCGTGAGCAGATATTTGGTAAGGTGCAGCTAAAATAAAATTTCTGCATGGTGAAAGTTTTGTATGACCAAATATCCTCTTTTTTTTTCTTTCTTTCTTTTTTTTTTTTTTCTCTGAATCCATGACTATTGCCCCTAGAAACAAACAGATTGTGATTCTGAGGCAATTTTGCTTTGTAATGGAAACATTTCTAAACTGCTAAGCAGTAAGAAAAGGATGGAAAACTGTATAGAAGGCACTAAAAAGGGGAAGTCGCTTTTAAGACATCTCAAAATATAGACAGTGACATTTCAAAACTAAAGGAAGAGGAATAAGCAGGTCACAAGCTGTCTGAGAGTGAGGAAAGCCATGCCAGCAAAAATTTTGGGTCACTACAAGAGTGGGGGGATTGTCAGAGGAAAACCACTGGGGGATGATACCCATTTTTACAGGATTTTGAATGCATCCAGCTGAGCATCACCCCCGTTTTGTATAACGAGGCTTTATCAGCTCTGTTACATGCAGCAGGGGCTCCCGTTTGCTGAAGAGTTGCAGGCTCTGGCCCTTGCACCCCGATCTCTTGCTCCCACCTTTTACGTGCAGGATTTTGCTCGGCTGTTTTGAAGCACCTGAGTCCAACCCTTGGAGCAGGAGCTTGCGACCGTGTCCGTGAATGGTGCTCGTGGTGCTCACGCTGCCCCAGCTTTGCTGCGTAATGCTGACACACGTCCCCCAGGGCTACAGACCAGTCTCCCCCATAATAAAAAGCAATCTTTTCCACTCTTTTGCTCGTGAAAGAGTCAGCGTTTAACCAAATACCTCATATGAAAATCCTACAAATAAATACAACATCTTATTATGCTGAAATCATGCTCGCAATGAGGCTGGGCTCGTCCACATTTGTCCACAGCAG